GACACCATGTTCCTCCAGAACAGCTTCAGCAGATGCTCCAGGTGTGCTCCAGGTGTTGTGTTGCTCATTTGGTGGTTTGTTTAAAAGAAGTAACATATCGATCTTCCAGAAGTGTTCAACAATCAATCCTGAATCTTTTCTGTGTTTTATCTTCTAAGCTTTGAAGGACAGAACAGAAAGAAAGCTGAATAATATTTTTGTCAAGAACAGAAGGATGTTGGACTCTTTTTGACCTGACAAACTGTGACTCGTCACTGACACTGTGTAATGATTTCCTTTCATTCTCAAAGGAGATTTGCCAGATCTTGTGAATGAAAATGATTTCCTGTAGGAGGACATTGTGGCAGAAATTGCTTTGGGAACTATTCAGACCTCGCAAGTTGGAAGCAATCTTTGAGAGCTGTGATGCTTCATGAACTGAGTGAACTGCTGCAGCACTGGGAGTCGGTCCAGCACCGATGTGATGCAGTGATGGAGTACCACAGTGATCATTTAGAAGTGATGTGGGGCGCTCAGAATCAGGTGGATGGTGTCAACGTTCTGGTCAAACTGAAGCTTGTTTTACGTCACAATCCCAAAACGGCATCGATGACAGCTTTGAGTGTTGGCAGCAGCTTCCTGGAAAGTTCAATGTGCATCGCTCTCTGATGTGTTACATCAGAACACATTCATCAGCTGGAGCGCTGATGTTGGCTGTATGCAGTTCTCTGTCTCCCTCAGTCCTCCTTCATGTTTCATCATTACAAGTGTAAGCAGGTGTAGTGGCTGCATGAATGCATGCATGAAACACAGACTGGTGTCATGGCTTTCTGCTGGGAGAAATGAACATGTTTAATGTTGCACGCTAGTATCTTCATCTCAAGCACATGTCCTAAACCTGACGCAGCAGCCTTGGTTCATATATTTAACCAAAGACTACGTGAGGAAGCTGGTTTCCTCTTCAAATGAACACGTGTTGTACGGGTAAGAGCGTCGTGTCAGGTGGTGGGATCGCGAGGTTTGACGTCTGGATCACTGGTGTTTTTTTAACAGGTCAAATGAATGGATCATGCTGGCTCTCCCATCAGTGGATGTTAAACATAGCCAGTCAGTCAGGACAGTCTCTGACTGATCAGAGGCTTTTCCAACCCTTGGATCATATAACAGTCATCTCGTGTGTGTTGGTACAGAAGCCCTACTCTTAAACTTAGATGGTGCTGAAACAGCTTGTTTTACACAGACTGCACCGAGGCTTCGACACGATTATTTAGAACTGAGAATCAAGAATAAAGTATGGACCCTTCACAGGCTTTTTCACGTTTCCCTGATGTACCTGAGAAATAGAATTAGCAGCGTTTCACACTGATGCATTTACTTTACACAGACGTTTGTCACATCACAGACAGAGCCAGACGACCTTCTTGTCTTTGGTTAATTAGAAAAAAGCAATGCTAACACGATGTGCTTGGATCCGTGTCATGCTTCAGAAATGTGAGCAGTGTCACAAGAACAAACCTTCCCCTCCTAAATATCTCAGTCATTACCCAAAGTTTGACAAAATTTCTGTTTCTTCTTCTTTTCTCGGTTTGGACATTATTGCATATTTGCATAAAATAATTCTGTTGTATAACACGTTGCATCAAACTCAGAGATGTGATCTTTTTTATCATTTATCTAAAATACTGACATATAG